TAAATGCATGAACTAGTTTTTCAGCATCACTCCTGGAAAGGATGCTTCTAATCTTAGCAATATTCCGAAGGTGGAAAAAGGAAATCCTACAAATCTGTTTAACCTGGGATTTGAATGACATGACCTGGTCAAAGATAACACCAAGGTTCATTACTTTGTTCTGGGAGACTAATTTAATGCCATTCAGGTCAGGTTATTGACTAAGCAATTTCCTTTTCTGAATTTCAGGTCCAAAGATGAGAACTTCAGTCTTGTCATCCAATTTTTTATGTCTTCGAGACAAGCCTGTAATCTAACTAACCAATTAGGTTCATCAGGGTTAATGGATAGATATGGCAGAGTATCGTCAGCATAACAGTGGAAGTTTATCCCATGCTGTCTAATGATTTTACCAATTGGGAGCAAATATATAGTAAAAAGAATTGGTCCAAGCACTGAACCCTGCGGTACTCCACAAGTAACCCTGGAGTATGAAGAAGATTTGTCATGTACATTTACAAAATGATATCTACAGACAGGTAGGATTTAAACCAGCCTAGCGCTGTTCCTTTGATCCCAACAACATGTCCTTTCTAAAAGAACATTGTGACCAACTGTGTCAAAAGCAGCACTGAGATCTAACAAGACTAGAACAGACACAAGATTGTTATCTGAGGCCACGAGAATATCATTTGTAACTTTCACTAATGCAGTTTCAGTGCTGTGATACTCTGTAAAACCAGACTGAAATTCCTCAAACAGATCATTAGTGTTTAAATGCTGACATACTTGGATGGCCAGTATTTTCTCAAGGACTTTGGATAAAAATGGAAGGTTAGATATTGGTCTATAATTCATTGGGTCATCTTGATCCAAAGAAGGCTTCTTAAGTAGTTTGATTACAGCAACCTTAAAATCCTATGGTACGTATCCATTTACTAAGGATAGATTGATTATATCTACAATGGGGGCAGTAACCAAAGGAAATGCATCTTTAAATAATTTGGTTGGGATCGGATCCAAAATGCAAGTTGAAGGTTTAGATGAAGCTAATATTTTTGATAACTCTGAAAGCTGAACTGGATCAAAATGGTTCATACACGGATGAGGTTCTACAGTTACCTCAGATGCTGCCTCACTTACTGAGGAAGAAGAAACTGCATTAGGGGGGATGCTAATGATTTTGTTTCTAATATAATTAATTTTACTTGTGAAAAATCCCATAAAGTTGTTGCTGCTGAGGGCTAAGGGAATAGATGGTACAGAGCTATGATTCTGTGTAAGTTTTGCAACTGTACTGAAAAGAAATTTAGGATTATTCTTATTATCTTCAATTAACGATGAAAAATAAGCAGTTCTAGTTTGTTGAAGCTTATTTTTATAAAGCACAAGAAATTTTTTCCAGGATAAGTAAAACTCCTCCTGGTGTGTAGAGCGCTATGTTCTCTCCAATTTTCTAGAGTTTTGTTTTAAAGTTCGTAAATGAGAATTAAACCAGGGAGTCAACTTCCTGTCCCTAATTACCTTATTTTTTAAAGGGGCAACATCATCTAATGCCACACGTAAAGAAGTAGTAACATTATGATTTAACGCATCAATTTGTGAAGGGCTAGAAATAAAAATATTGCCCTCTGCTATATGCCTCTGAGATGCTGAAGAAAGTAAAGATGGAACAGTTGATTTAAAAGATGCAACAGTATTGTCAGATAGAGACCGACTATAGTGAAATTTACTTTCATGTCTTGAGAACTCAGTTATAAAAAATCAAAGGTTATCAAAAAGTGGTCCGAGAGGACTGGATTATGTGGTAATATTGATATTTCCTCACACTCTATGCCATAAGTCAGCACAAGGTCTAATGTATGATGGCAAGAGTGGGTGGAGCTATGTATTCTTTGGGTAAAACCAATTGAGTCTAAGATATTACTAAAGGCTACATTGAGGCTATCATTTTCAATGTCCACATGAATGTTAAAATCCCCCACTACAATGACCTTATCAGTATTTAGCACCAAATCAGATAAAAAATCTGATCTGATCCAAAAACTCAGAGTAAGGGCCTGGTGGACGATACAAAACTATAAACAAGAGTGGTTTTACGGTTTTGCAATCTGGATTAGGAAAACTAAGAATAAGATGTTCAAAAGAACTGTAACTATTAAGTGGTAAGGGATTGATTAATAGGTCTGAATGAAAAATGGCTGATACTCCTCCTCCTCGCCCTGTACTTCGAGCAATATGATTATTTAAATAATTAGAAGGAGTCGACTCATTTAAGCTAACATAGTCCTCTTGCTGCAGCCAGGATTCTGTGAGAGCGAGCAAAGAAATCTGATTATCACAAATCAAGTCATTAACTAACAAAGTCTTAGAAAAATAGATCTAATGTTCAATAGCCCACATTTAATTTATCTAGTTTTCTGCTCAGTTGAATTTGTTCTAATATTTATGAGATTTCCATGATTTGCTTTATTAAGTCTGATTTTTAATCTGTGTGGTTTTGGCCGTGGGCAGGAAACTGTCTCAATGGGGTAGTGGGTGGGTAACAGTACAGAAGCTGCAGAGGGGTGTGTTAAACTACAACTCTGCTTCCTTATCTGGACCCTGGGTTGTCATGGAGGACTAATGACATTGGCCATGTTCCTAGAAAGAAGAGCTGCTCCATCCAAAGAGGGATAGATGCAGTCTCTTTGCATCAGACCAGGTTTTCCCCAAAACGTTTTCCAGTTATCAATGTAGCCCACGTTGTTATCAGGACACCACCTAGACAACCAGTGGTTGAAGGACAGCATGCGGCTAAACATGTCGTCACTGGTCCGATCAGGCAGGGGGGCAGAGAAAATTACGGAGTCCGACATTGTTTTGGCAAACTTACACTAACATTAATTTTAGTGACCTCCGATTGGCATAACCGGGTGTCGTTACTGCCAGCGTGAATAACAATCTTACTGTATTTACGCTTATCCTTAGCCAGCAGTTTCAGATAAGATTTAATGTTGCCCGCTTTGGCCCCAGGTAAACATTTAACTATGGTTGCTGGAGTCTCTAATGCCACGTATCTGACTATGGAGCTGCCAATGATCAGAGTTGGCTTGTCAGTGGGTGCGTCACTGAGCGGGGAAAATCTGTTAGAAACGTGTACGGGTTGATGGTTTCCCACGGGCTGAGCTCTATGCTTCCTGCGTACCGTCACCCAGCTAGCCTGAGGTCCCGGCTGCTCGGGTTCTGCTGGAGGACCGCTATGGGGTAGTTCTGAGCTAGTTAGCCCCACGCTAGCTAAGTAGCTACGGCTATTTACGGGATTTTGAACAGCACGGAGCAGGGCCTCCAATTCCAACACCCTCACCTCCAAAGCTACAAAAATGCTACATTTATTACAGGTACCATTATCACTAAAGGAGGCAGAGGAGTAACTAAACATCTGACACAGAGAGCAAGAGATAGGAGACGGAGAAGCAGAGACAGAAGTTAGCATAGCCGTGCTGAGGCTAAACAAACTGGACGAGCAACTCGTTCAACACCAAATAAACTGCGTGCTAACTCAAATGGTTCACTAAAAGCTAGGTGGAACAACAGAAAATGTGTGTTTTAGCGTGCTTATGTGCTACAATAACTCAGAGATATCCTAGTACAGAGAAATTTAATTAATTTTAGCGAGCCACAAACACCGAACACCTACACGTAGTGCAACACTGAAAACAGAAAACGCCTTATCGCAAATACTGCCACCTACAGCCAGCAATCCCAACTGCCAAACATTTTCTGATCAGAAAAGCAATTCGCTGCCAGCGTTTTAACTGTTTTTTAAGAGCCAGAGAACGTTGAGCTCTATGATGATGTCAATGCCAAAACCACCAAAGAGAAGACTCACCTCTTACATCAGGAAAAAACGTGTGTTTTGAGCATTAATCTGTTCTTTCATAATCTTGTCAATTGTTGCCGATGTGATCGGCAGAAGCTTTTTCAGTTTGCGCCTCACTTTTTTTAACAGCAGCATCCCAAAACGATCTCCTAACACATTTTCTGCTTCCTGATCACGTGACGTGTCACGTAAGAGGATGAAGATCAGCTTTAGAGCTGGGATCTTTGTTCTCACGGTGCGGGGGCTCGTTCCGAGTGTAAAATAAAAAAAAAGTAAAATAAACACATTTCAACCAAAACTTACTGATGTTGATACGGAGAGCTGCCATATTTGATGTTGAGGTCGAGAGTTCAAAAAATGTTTTGATTTTCCAACTGAGAGGTCTGACTTTGGAGGGCATTTCATCTGATGTTTCCTGTTTGGAATTTCCGACTTCCGAGGACAAATCGAACGCAGCATAAAAGTGCCCTTTGACCTCCGTTAGCTTCGGTTTGCTCAGTTAGCTAGTAGCTACAATGGCTCCAAGTTTGATGGGTGCCATTCATCTGCCCCCACCCTCACAGGCAAGTTCTCAGCTTCATTTTGGTATTTTCCGTGAGTGACAAGACGTGTGACGCAGCCAACATGGCAGTGGTGGGAACCGCCTGCTGGGCTTCAATTCAGCTCTTCAGAAACCTTTGGGTGGTGGCGCGGAGGCTTCATCCCTTACGATCGATGGTTCAAACATTGTGTGACAAGAATTAAGCAAAAATAATGGTTTGACTTTGTGGTGAATTGTCTGTAAATGTAATTAAAATGTATACTAACATTATGTTGTCATGCATTAACTGCATGCAGATATACTGTATTTCATGCAATGCAAGTGCTTGTGTATCTGTAGTTGTATTGTTTTAAATGTTAAATACAGGAACAAGGATTGTATGTATTTGACATCATTAGTCAGTCTGATGTATGTTTTAATCAATCCTTTTGACCTAATCATTCAAAAAAAAAGGAACGTGTCATTTTTTTCCAGCTTGTTATTACAAATGAGAACCATCAAATCTGTTTGAACAGATCTGGGGATGTCTCACGGAAGACAATTTAGCTTATCTGAAACATTATGGTAAAATTGCTCATTTCTGGAATGCTTTTCTGATGTTCAGTAATGTGATTGCAGGTTTATGATCAATCCTACAAAGCCGTGTTGAACGGTGTGGAGACGGAGAGCGTGATGGAGATTGACCCTAATGAACGCATTGAGATCTTCAGAATGGGAAACGGGAGTCAGGAAGTCCTCGAGGTTCACGACTTTAAGAACGTAAGTGTATTGAGCTTTTTTTCTTCTGATGCTATAATCACATCTTCACTTTCAGAGGAAAAAGGATTTCAATGTTAACATCCTGCTCTTTAAAAACAAAAAAAAAGCTGATTGACAGCAGAAGTTCTACCTTGAATTTAAATTTCCACTTTCCTTCTTTTGTTCCTCTAAATGGAAAAAACCTTCAAATTACCTGAGAAACAAAAATGATTTGCAGCAGTGAGTTCAAATTCGGATTTAACACAAATGTTTAAAAAGCACCCTGTAAATACACAACAGTAATTGATAATACAGCAGCAGGAGAAGAAGAGATTTATGTGGATTCAACAGCCTGGAAAAAACAATCAGTCTTACTAAAGAAATGCTTTCTTCCCACTAACTCTATATGGTAACTTATTTGGGGTACAAACATCATTAAGAAGCTCTTCTTTATTTGTTTCTAGCACGCTACTCAGCTTGTATTTTGTCTCCTGCAGAACTCATTAACTTACCTTTCATTCCTAAATCCTGTTTGAGTGTGCAGGAGGTTACACATTCTCCACCTTGGAGGAAAAGGAGCATGTTGCTTGACTGAGTAATGAATGCTCTGACTCTCACACTTTTATTTACTGTGAAATGTGGTGGTGCAAAGCAAAAGTGTTACCGGATGCACTTCATCTGAAACAAAAACCTACACAGAAAACTTATTGGGGTTTTTTGCTACAATGGTCTTTGTGATTTTACTCTGAATCAATGATGGAAACCTGCAGGATGCAGGGAAAACCTTAATGTCTGTGTGTGTGTGTGTGTGTGTGTGTGTGTGTGTGTGTGTGTGTGTGTGTGTGTGTGTGTGTGTGTGTGTGTGTGTGTGTGTGTGTGTGTGTGTGTGTGTGTGTGTGTGTGAGACAATCATGCATGCTAGTTGCCTGTTCCACTTCCTACTGGCGAAGCACATCCCTGGAGGAGATTTGTTTGATTTGGTGCTCCACCAAGGAAGACTACAGTAACAACAGACTGAGCACAGTAATTCAAACCTCATTGTGACAAAAACAAAAACACTTGGATAAAACTTGCAGGGGGTTGTGCAGTTATGTTAATTTTTTTTTTCACCAAGTCAAAATTGGGATTTCTCAGGTTAATACAAAAACTGAAACACCTTTCTTTTCCCATAAACTCCATCAGGCTTGTGAGTTGTGCGAGGAGTGGAAAATTAAAGGATAGTTTCAGTTGGATTGTAAACAAACTGAGGAATTTTATTTCATTGTTATATTTATTTATGTAATTGAAAGTTTGGTCTTCTTGGAAGAAATACACATCACCCACTTCCAGATTTGTTCTGGTCAAATCTTGAGAATGTGTAAAATTACACTATGTTGCAATTTTTCACTAATCTGTTAGCAGTCGGAGTATGTGTCTCAATCACACACAGACACACACACATGCCCACACATGCACACACAATGTGTGTATATATATACACACACTCACAATATATGTGTGTGTGTGTGTGTGTGTGTGTGTGTGTGTGTGTGTGTGTGTGTGTGTGTGTGTGTGTGTGTGTGTGTGTGTGTGTGTGTGTGTGTGTGTGTGTGTGTGTGTGAAACTGACTGAGTTATAGCACTTATGTGTCAGTTGATGATGATTAGCCAAAGCAGCCGTCTTGAATTGGGTAAACACTAAAATGTGATCAGATGTAGTTGATCAAGTAATGCCTTTGATGGTTTCTTTATATTTGATCCAGTGGATTATGAAATATTTGGAGAAAGGACAAGGACAACAATGGTTTAGGTAAAAACATTTCACATAAAGGGCTCTGACTATGCATCATAGTTGTATTTATTTGGTGTTTCAACCCAAGACTGAAGAGATATGCAGCAGACAGAACAAATTAGAGAAATGACTAAATACTGGGAACAGAGCAAGAGCAGGACCTGAAATCAGAACAAGATGCTAACAAACTCATAACCTCGTTCACAACAGAGGAATGGACGAGGTCAGGTTTTTGTACGACTTCCACATAGACCAAAAACCATAGAGTCCAATCAAAGCATTCACACTGGCTGTGGTGCGTTGCAGATCTGGATGTGGAGCTACGGGAAGTTTTCATCTACTTTGTCTAGTCTCTGCATACGGATTGTCACGAACCTAGAGAAATAACATGAGCCAGACAGGAAGCGAGATGTGAAACAGACAGGTGCATCCCATGTTTTCCAAAATAAAACCTGTCGTATTATTTTTGCCAGCATTGGTTTTATGATTAATGACAGGGATATCAGTTCAGAGTATGATCATTTGTGTTATTTTTACAGGAATATTTATAAATGTATTATGTCAAATTTCCAATCATTTGGTGCTTGTGTGGGAGCAGGTATCACGAAACGTTCAGTACACGAACCGCAGTTGGTGCGAAGTCTGTCTGGAAGCCGTACGGAAACCGGAGCGCATCCACTCCACACTAGATGTGAACATGGTTTCAGACAGAGAAGGGACTGAAACTGAGAAACCAAGGACTGGACATACTCTGGTGGCTTGATTAATTGAAGGGGACCAGGTGAGCTGCTCAGAAGACAAGAGGCAGGTGTGAGTGTCAGATTAGTGACAGGCATATGGAAGCTGAGAGGAAAACAACCACAAAACAAGTAAGGAAGTCAAACATGAAAGCAGTGTCAAATATCTGGAAAATTCAAAAATAAAAGTCACATGCAGGTAGAAGTAAGTCATTTCATGTGAAACCCTCATAGCTGATGTAAACAGAACATAAAATAAACCACAGACGTTTTTGGACGCATGCAGCTGTCTTTCTCTTTGCTTGTTGTTGTGCAGACTTCTGAAATAACGCGTGGTGTTGCAGTTCTCCTGTGACTCTGCAGGACCAGCGGTGTGGAGTGCTTTTCTCCCGTTTCGTGTCTGAAATGCTTCTGGTTGACAAAAGCTCGTGGGTAAAACTCTGCTATTACGTTACATGCCACTTTCACGTCTGGTGGAAAGGAGGCTTTCTGAAATTTCTGTTAAAGTTCAGAGATTGACTAGGTTGATCAGATAGTAAAATTAACTTAATGTTAACTCAACCTTACAACTAATCAACTTTCATGAGACTGCTCACCTTTTTTTCAGTAATATACTCAGGATGTTTCTTTCATTCTGTCCAATTACTTGTTTTGACTTAAAGCTACAATCTGGAGGGTTTTTTAGAAACACATTAAAGTGATAGTCTCACGCTGTGATATAATGTAGGCAATACATCATTTTTTTATACTTTTTCATAATTATTATTATTAAAGCCATGACACCTTGAATGAAAGACAAACTGGAGCCAGGTTTAAACAAGAGGAAACGCAGATACAGCATTTATGGATTGCACTCTACATTTCTCTAACACAGTTCTCTCATGTTGTAACGTACCATTAAGGACATGTCTCAGATTCCCTCCAAGGTTATAAAACTCGACACTTAGGTGATTGAAAAGGTTTGAAAGAATTGTGTTTGTGATTAGAGGTCCTTCTGAGTGAAGTGACATGTTGCCCTTTACAAACAAGCTCCATTAAGTGTGAACATGCATCTGTGACAGCTCTGCTGTTGAGGGACTTTGCAGGTAGTTACCGCTTGAAGTGTGACCTTTGACCCCTTCCTGTGACCTTTCTTACATAAAAAAAGATCAGCAGTGTGACAACATTTTATTGATTTCACATAACTTTAAATAAAAGAAATAGTTTTGAACCCCAATTAAATATCTTAATATACACAAACACAAAGATGTCTATATTCATTATTGTTTCTTTAAGCATTTTAATAGTTTAGAAGTAAGGAAATGTGCAAACCACTGAGCATTAGGTCCTGGACTTTTTTAATCATCATTAAGGTCATAAAGCTTAACTAGCTTGTTACAATCATGGCTGGCATCATTAGAAAGAGCCATACAGTACGATGATCATTTAAGTATTTGACCCCTCAAACTTTATTTTACCAATCAGCAGCTGCAAGCTTTCTAAGTTGCACTCTATCATTATGAAGAGCTATGTTCAGAAAACAGGAGAAGACATACGAAGATGCAGTTGAACATTAGCAGTCGATATAAATGGTTGTCATTAAGTTGAATAAAAGATAGTCTGTTAGGAACGAGCTGAAGCTTTCATCTTTTCATTTTCCAGACTGAAAAATCACAGGAAGTCTGTGATGCAAAAACTCATCCCTGGAGGGGATGGTGGAAAGTGCATTTGCTCATACCCAGTAATCAAGCAAAACACGAAAATCGTGCATTTTAGATTTTTGTTTATGTTTAAAATGTCTTTTTTATGCTCTTAAATTCACATCAGAGCAGAGATTTCAGTCACTGAGACAAACATTTTAAAAACTCATAAGACAAAAAATTTTAAAAATTGTAAAAAATTAAGAGAAAATTACAAAAATAAGAAAAAAGTAGATGTTTGCCCGGTGGGAGAGGGAAGAAACCAGTGCTCATTCAATCTCTTTTTAATATTACTATGACATTATTTTAAGTGAACTGTTGTTTTATTTTATAATTACAAACATTTTATGAATAAATAAAATGGAAATGGCCTCTTATTGTGCTTCAATCATCCATCAGAGTGCAGAACATGTTACGGCATGTTTTTGAGGAATGTACTAAACCAATTAAAGAGATTGAGTTCTTGCAAACTTGGAATTTGGTGCATCAAATGTTGTGCAATAAATAAGTTACAGCTGCATTTTAGAGTTAAGTGTGTGTACATTTTTACTGTGAGGAAGAAGAAGATCACATAGACTAAGGGGGAAAAAATTGGCTATTAGTTATTAGTTTAAGGGAAAAAACACACGTGTTATTCACGTTTTTTATTGTAACGTAAACATGTTGGAGTGCAACATCACACTGACTGTGACCCAATGCCAGTACCTACACTGCACCGTATGGTCCTCAGCAAAGTCCACTTGGAGAAAATGTGCATGGGGCTTTGAATGTGTGGTGCATAAGTGTGCAAATTATTGCCAAAATGGGATCACAACACATGTCGAGTTGGCAATCA